GATTGTCTCCCTCGGCAGCCATGGAATGTAGATCCTCATGTGCTCCTCCATTGTGTCAAACCAGTTGGATAGGATTCTGCGCACTAGTCCCTGGGACACAGCAAAGCGTTCAGCAAGATCACCCTGGAGTAGATTCAGCTTCATCAAGGTTATCAGTATTTTATCCGTGATATGAATTTTTAAGTTAGCAGTGTAGAATTTCTGCAGAAATGCTATATGGTCAAAGAAGACACTAAGAGGAAGGCCAGTATACAACACTGAGCTAGTTTCATTCTTCAGGATGGTGTGGGTCAATGGCTGCACCAACACATTTGTTTGTGGCAGGTGGGCTTGTTGACTGGTTCTCTTGACACGTATCTGTGATCAGTCAGTGCTGGAATCTTCCATTGAGTGTCAGCATCTTTGATGTGGTGGCATTGGCACACTCAGATCAGACTCTGCATCATCACAGTTTTCTTCATCTGTCAAACAAACATAAGAGAGTCCACAATAACCTTAACAAAATAAAATGCACAGACAGCCTACTGGTCATGGTTAGGTAAAAAAAAAACACTATTGAGAACATTTAATAATTTAGCTAGTTAGACATTTCATGAGCATCACCAGTGGCATGCCAGCAATGATGGGGATAATCATGGAATGGGGGGGACCAATGACGTATATAAACCCTGAATTACTGATGCTATGTAGTGGTCATCGAGAGGCTTTAAAGCCGGCAGGCAGGCCATATTGGCACTCCCCTGTAGGAGCCGTCCACCATAGGAATGATATGGAATTCTACCGAATTTCAATTAAATGCTTCACTGAGGAGTGGCTTCCGTCTGGCCACTCTACCATAAAGGCCTGATTGGTGGAGTGCTGCAGAGATTGTTGTCCTTCTGGAAGGTTCTCCCATCTCTACAGAGGAACTCTGGAGCTCTGTCATAGTGACCATCGGGTTCTTGGTCGCCTCCCTGACCAAGGCCCTTCTCCCCCAATTGCTCAGTTTGGCTGGGCGGCCAGCTCTAGTAAGAGTCTTGGTGGTTCCAAACTTCTTCCATTTAAGGATGATGGAGGCTACTGTGTTCTTAGGGACCTTCAATGCTGCAGATATTTATTGGTACCCTTTCCCAGATCTGTGCCTCGACAACATCTTGTCTCGGAGCTCTACGGACAATTCCTTCGACCTCATGGCTTGGTTGTTGCTCTGACATGCACTGTCAACTGTGGTACCTTATATAGACAGGGGTGTGCCTTTCCAAATCATGTCCAATCATTTGAATTTACCACAGGTGGACTCCAATCAAGTTGTAGAAACACTTCAAGGAGGATCAATGGAAACAGGATGCACCTGAGCTCAATTTCGAGTCTCATAGCAAAGGGTCTGAATACTTATATAAATAAGGTATTTCTGTTTTTCTAAAAAACTGTTTTTGCTTTGTCATTATGGAGTATTGTGTGTAGATTGATTAGGAAAAAAATGAATGTAATCCATTTTGGAATAAGTCTGTAACGTAACAAAATGTGGAAAAAGGGAAGGGGTCTGAATACTTTCCGAATGCACTGTATACTGAACAACAATATAAACGCAACATGTTAATGTTGGTCCCATGTTTCATGAGCTGAAATTAAACATCCCAGACATTTTTCATAAGCACAAGAAGCTTATTTCTCTCAATTTTTGTGCACACATTTGTTTACATCCCTGTTAGTGAGCAGATGATCCATCCACCTGACAGGTGCGGCATATCAAGAAGCTGATTAAAAAGCATGATTATTACGCAGGTGCACCTTGTGCTGGGGAAAAAAGGACACTAAAATGTACAGTTTTGTCACACAACACAATGCCACAGATGTCTCAAGTTTTGAGGGAGTGTGCAATTGGCATGATGACTGCAGGAATGTCCACCAGAGCTGTTGCCAGAGAATTGAATGTTCATTTCTCTACCATAAGCTGCCTCCAACGTCCAGTCATGTGAAATCCATAGATTAGGGCCTAATGAATTTATTTCAATTGAATGATTTCCTTATATGAACTGTAACTCAGTAAAATCGTTGAAATTGTTGCATGTGGCATTTATATTTTTGTTCAGTATATATTTTTTAAATTTGTACGTTTAGCTCACATAATATAATTTCAAAGTATGCATTAAGGTGTCTGTAGTAAAATAAATGTGCCAAAAATGAATGTAGATATTAATAAATGTATTTCTATAGCTTCCAAAATATTTTTTACAATGGTGGGGGAGTGCAAAGATGGAGGCACGGTGGCTTCAACACAGCGCCCCCTGTCAGTCATCTAATGTGTATATCAATAATTGGGCTTAACAGGCAGGCAGTTGCAGCTGCACTAACAGAGTGTATTGGGTGCATCCCAATACTCTAACAACGATACCCAATATGTACTCATATTTAGTGCAACACTGTCCTGTCATTGAACCACAACAAACCCCTCAATCATACACCATTGTCTTTGACTATTTGAACTTTTTTGTGAGGGAGTACGAGGAAGCCAACAACAAACACAACAAGCTTCTAAACAGGACCCATCACATTGCAGTGCAGAAAATAATCAATCCTCACCACCCATCAAATCAGTCAGGCTGACATTTTATTCATTTAGCAGACACTCTTATCCAGAGCAACAAGGGTTAAGTGCCTTGCTCAAGGACACATCAACAGAATTTTCACCTAGTTGGCCCAACGCTCTTAACCGCTAGGGTAACTACCTGCTAGCTAGATTAGGAGCTTCTGAGTCTGCAAACAGAAGGGAGTTCATAGTTCTTGGCAGCAGGCTACTTACAAAGCACGTGGACAGAAGCATTTGAATCCTTCAAGGCTGTGATGGTGAGGCACATCCCACATATCTACTCAGAGGAGATGACAAATACGTCCACAAAGGTAAGATTAATCTAAAGCATGGTAGAATGTAATTGATTCATGATTAAATATACTGAGTGCACAAAACATTAAGAACACCTTCCTAATATTGAGTTGCACCCACCCAGACTCAATTCATTGGGGTATGGACTTTACAAGGTGTCGAAAGTGTTCCACAGGGATGCTGGCCCATGTTGATTCAAATGCTTCCCACTGTTGTGTCAAGATGGCTGGATGTCCTTTGGGTGGTGGACAATTCCTGATACACACGGGAAACTGTTGAGCGTGAAGAACCCAGCAGAGTTGCAGTTCTTGACACAAACTGGTGCACCTGGCACCTACTAACATACCCTGTTTAAAGGCACTCAAATATTTTGTCTTTCCCATTCACCCTCTGAATGGCACACATACACAATCCATGTCTCAATTGCCTCAATGCTTAAACATCCTTCTTTAAACTGTCTCTTTCCCTTCATCTACACGGATTGAAGTGGATTTAAAAAGTGACATCAAAAAGGGATTATAGCTTTCACCTGGATTCACCTAGTCAGTCTGTCATGGAAAGAGCAGGTGTTCATAATATTTTGTACACTCAGTGTATGTATGTTGTCCAACAAACCTCGTTCTAGTTCTTAAACTAAACAATGTCCTGCTTTGCTTACGGCGGCAGGTAGCCTAGCAATAAAGAGTGTAGGGCCAGTAACCGAAAGGTTGCTGGTATGGTTCCCCGAGCCGGCAAGGTGTAAAAATCTGCCATTGAGCAAGGCAGTTAACAACCACTGCTCCATGGATGTCGATTATTTATTAGGATCCCCATTAGCCAACACCAATGGCGACAGCTAGTCTTACTGGGGTCAGACATAATTTATAACGAGTGGAATGTTAGCTAAAGAGGCTGGTACTCAGGCTACTATAGACCGGTACAACAAGTAAACTATGAAAGGTGAATAGAAGGTCATTGTGCGATAATTCAAGTTTACTTTTTAAAGTGCCCTGAAACAGTTGACTGATGGTGATACATACAAGATATGACACAAACTAAATGTTGAGTTTTGCAGTACAAAATGTACAATACACAGCATGACGGCAAGATAAATGAATGGAGATTACAAGGAAATAAATCAGACTATTTTCAGTCCTTGCCAGCATCTTGCCTAGATAACGAATATGCACTCACTAAAGGAGTGGCCACAAGTCTAATATAAAAAGCAGTGAGTGCAGTACTGTACACTTCCAACTGATCTTCCAACTGAATACATGATGAGTATGATGACCATAGCATCTTTTCTCTCCGCAGGTCTGCTGTTGCTGGTTCCAGGGATCCTGACTGAATGTAATGTAGAATATATTTACTTACTTTACCTCTTTATAATGTTATCTTTAAAACCTATACAGTATAGCTTACATTTTTGATAGATTAATTATTAATGACTAATTATTACACCCTGAAACTGTGTGAAATGTGTTAGAATGTGTGAGTGTAGGACCAGTAAAGACTATGACATTGAGCTACTATTCAGCAATGTGAGTAAGAGTTAGGCCAGACAACAAAGGACAAGGAGAACTGTCTACAGACAACTGAGAAACCAAGATAAAGGGGCCTCCCAATTTAGGGAGGAGAGAAACTGTTATGAAACATGGTGCAGAATATTGTGAGGACGGCAATAACTGAGGAATGCAGGCAGTAGGCTATGATAAGAAAGTGTGTATGTATGTGTGTGTGTATGCATGTGTGTGTGTGTGTATGTATGTATGTGTGTATGCATGTGTGTATATGTGTGTGTGTGTGTGAACTGATGGTCAGGAGAGCAGTTTTAAAGTGGAAAACTACAGCCCGCCTACAGAGGGGAGGGATGTTTGTATGACGTATGAGTATAAAAGATGGACTCTGAGATTGTGATTGCAGAATTCTCAATGAATAAATCTCTGACTATGCAGACCGGGACTCTGTCCGTTACTTAAATCCCAAAAGACTTACAACCTTTTGGGAGACGCACAGAGACACTGAAATAGTTTGTTAAGTAATTCACCTAACAATTTTAAATTACAATTTTATTACAGAGGCTTATGGACCAAACCTCATCGAGTTGACGATAGTCAACAGCATCTCCAATGCACCCAATGAGACCTACAGTGCTGACATGGTGTTCAGAGGGATCCTACTCGGTGCCATGAGGAGACTGCAGGAGACCAATTCAGACTTCAAGTCAGTAGACATTTAGATTCCATTGTCTGATTGATTTATAGAATAGCTCATATATGCAATACAGACTATATAGTTTGAGCAATAGTTTCTATGCCAATTTACAGACAATGTTCTGTAGTTCAAGGTGTCATTTATGGCATGGAATGGTACAGCATTTTTATGTAATGGTGGTATTCTTGCTTTTGCAACGGATAAGGGGTATTATAATTGGCAGGTGTGTCAAAGATGTTATGTTATGTCAGTAGTCAGTGAGCATTGTTCTTCCAAGTTTACCTACACAGAGGACCCCAACTATGGTCCCTTCCTGGTGAGTGTGAATGGTGTAGCCGGGGACAGTGCTGAGCACACTTACTGGGAGCTCCTTGTTCAGACTGGGGAGAATGGACCCGTGATCAGACCTGATGTGGGTGAGTAATGATTTAGAATATCTCTCTTATCTGGGACTACTCTCTCTCTCTCTCTCTAGATCTCATCGCTCTCTCTCTCTCTCTCTATCTCTCTCTCTCTCTCTCTCTCTCTCTCTCTCTCTCTCTCTCTCTCTCTCTCTCTCTCTCTCTCTCTCTCTCTCTCTCTCTCTCTCTCTCTCGCTCTCTCACTCTCTGCAAAGCCACAGAAGTAAGGGGAAAAGCAAATGTTATTTACAACAATCTATTTGTCACATGAATTGTGCACATACTGTAAACACAAAATGACCTAGTTGGACCTTGTTTTCACAGGTATTGGCTGTTACATCCCAGAACCAAATGACCGCATCATCCTGAATTTTACAAAATGGTGAACATTCAGAAGAGCCTTACTGATTTGAAAAGTACTGTTGTGCAATTTATTACATGTGCCATTACAGGAAAAAAAGTAAGGAACTCAGCCATTTGCAGTAATGTCCAATGTTAAGACAGTGTTTAGAATAAGAATAGAAAGAGTTTCACCATGACATGATACTGCTATATACCAGAACTACTGTAAAATAACATTCCATTTGTAATTACTGTGTAAAAGGTTAATAAAGTACATGTAGCTATGGAGTACAACTTGTGCGGGGAAACAAAATTACCTCAACAGTGGTATCATAATACATGTACAGTGTAAATGTATACCTGTACACACGCACACATGCACACACGCAGACACACACTCACACACACACACACACACACACACACACACACAAACAAAATAATTTCAGAAATGACCTTATACCATATATATACAGTACCAGTCAAACGTTTGGACACACCTACTCATTCAAGGATTTTTCTTTATTTTTACTATTTTCTATTTGTAAGATAATAGTGAAGCCATCAAAACTATGAACTAACAAATATGGAATCATGTAGTAACAAAGAAAGTGTTAATCAAATAGCCACCCTTTGCCTTATATGACAGCTTTGCACACTCTTGGCATACAGAAGATAGCCCTATTTGGTAAAAGACCAAGTCCATATTATGACAATAACAGCTCAAATAAGCAAAGAGAAACGACAGTCCATCATTACTTTAAGACATGAAGGTCAGTCAATCTGGAAAATGTCAAGAAATTTAAAAGTTTCTTCAAGTGCAGTGATAATGAAACTGGCTCTCATGAGGACCACCACAGGAAAGGAAGACCCAGAGTTACCTCTGTTGCAGAGGATAAGTTCATTAGAGTTACCAGCCTCAGAAATTGCTCTTATCAAGAGCAACTTACAGTTAGTGAGTGCATACACTTTTCATACTGGCCCCCCGTGGGAATCGAACCCACAACCCTGGCGTTGCAAGTGCCATGCTCTACCAACTGAGCTACTGTTGCGTGACTTTTCACTACAAGTTCTGCTGCAAGGTCACATCACCAGTCCGGATAGACCAGACAGCCAGCCCAGTCACTAGCCCCAACGGGACAGCCCTTTGACATAGGAAGTAGTGGTGCTGAGGGTGCTGCAGCACCCACTGAAAAATAATTATAATACAAATACAAATACAACCTTCTTTTTTTTTCTCACAAAAGTAGTGCACTGGGCCTTTAATAGTCCTGTATTAGCGGACCGATATAGACGTCTGTAGCGCAGGCGTTTTTTAAAAATGCATCTCTGCTTTGGAAAAAAAGGTAGTTGTATAATTAAGAACAGTATCTTGCAGGATTCAATAAGTTGATTCAACGTAATAACCACCGGATAACATAATAATAAGCTTGATTAATAATAATCAAGTAAAGTGTTACCCAAGTATGTGTGTGTGTGTGTGTGTGTGTGTGTGTGTGTGTGTGTGGTGTGTGTGTGTGTGTGTGTGTGTGTGTGTGTGTGTGTGTGTGTGTGTGTGTGTGTGTGTGTGTGTGTGTGTGTGTGTGTGTGTGTGTGTGTGTGTGTGAGAGAGAGAGTGTGTGTGTGTGTGTGTGTGTGTGTGTGTGTGTGTGTGTGTGTGTGTGTGTGTGTGTGTGTGTGTGTGTATATATAACTGCATGTGTGTACATTTCAATGTATGCTTGTGAGTTTCTCTATGTATGAGTATGTATGATGTGCATGAGTTTGTTTGTGTTATAATTGGCTGTGGGTGGTGGCATGTGCATTAAATTGAGAAAAGTAGTACATATAAACATTGATTTTGGTATGTTATTACATGATTGGTCGAAGTTATTACATTATTCATAAAAAAGTTGTTACTCAGCAGTTAATGTAATAACCACTGGTTAATGTAAATACTTATTACATTTAGCGGAAAAAGTTATTACGTTTACCTTTCAAAATGTTTATTAAGTTTACGGCAAGTTATTACATAAAAAAATCTAACAGTTATTACAAATAGAAAAGTTATTACATTTACAGGTGTTATTACATTTACCGTTGTTACCTGCCCAGTGTTACTTTTTTGCCACATTTTACTTTGTGCCCCCTGTCACGTGGCATTTTGTTTGACTAGACTAGACTAGACGTCACATAGTAAATATGAATCCGTGACACTCAAATTAGTATGATGTTACGTTTGGTATGGTTACATAAGACAGATGGTTTCTTAAGGCAGACAACTTTAGCATTTTAGTTAATTGGCAACTGTTCAACTACTTACTACTTATTAGCTACTTTGTAACAACTTAGCATGTTAGCTTCCCCTAACCCTAACCTTAACCCTTTTAGCTAATCCTTCCCCTAACCCTAACATTAACCATTTAACCTAACTCCTAAACTTCACCCTAACCTTAACCCTAACCCTAACCCCTAGCTTAGCTAACGTTAGCCAGCTAGCTAACGTTAGCCACCTTGCCGCCTAGCTAGAATTCGTAACATATCATACGTTTAGCAAATTTGTAACATATTGCCCATTTTGCAAATTCGTTACATATTGTACGTTTGTAAATTCGTGGGGGCTTGGGGTGCTACAGACCTCTATATACAGGACTAGAACCGGCCCAATGCATTACTTTTGTGAAAATTGTTTAACTAAATGTATTTCTATTTTAGTGTTTACCAGCATTTGCAACTTGAGTCTGATAATTATCTGTACAAAACAGTTAATCTGATAATACTTGTGGAATATAAAAATACTTGCTTGATATGTTTTCCAGTTTCTTGAAATACTTTGGAAATGCAACTTTTTTCTATGTGAAAACTGAAATGGTCTATTCATTCCTTTAACTAGAAGCTCTTATCAAGAGCAACTTACAGTAGTGAGTGCATACATTTTCATACTGGGCCTCCATGGGAATTGAACCCACAACCCTAGCGTTGCAAGCGCCATGCTTTACCAACTGAGCCACATCATCACATCACATCAGCACAAACCACTTGATGTCTCAATGTACTCAGTTACTGTATTGTGCATTGTTTTTCTTCATGGTGATGGAAAGTCTACAGGTACAAACCTAGATGACCAGCCTATGTACAGTAATGTACATTTACATTAAGTGGTTTGTAAGGATGGTAAATTAATACTGCACAAAAGTGGTTGTTTTTTATGTTATTTGATCAACAAAAATATTTAATTTGATGTGGATGTTTTGAGTCTTTGCCCATAACTTTGCAACTTTTGATGTAAATGTTTGAGGAGAAGGTGTTGTTCTTTATGGATTCCATTAGAATGAAGATTGCAGAGAAAGGGACATGATTTTCATTCCTGGGGGTGGATTATCCCTTTAAGCTATAAACGATTTGCATTTCTAAACCATTGATTGTATGAGAAACACAGTTTTTGTGTTTTGATGCTGTCTTTTACATGCACTGAAACCCCAAAAGTGTTTTCAAAACACTCTTAAAAACATCAACATTCTGGTTGAAGAACCACTTTGGTTCACATTTATACATCCGGTGAAATATCTGTCTCATTGTTCTATCTACGGTGATAGTGCGTTATCCCTTATCTCCAGTGACGAGAATTAAGTAACTATAATGCGTTCGTACACAATGCGCCCTGTGTGTTTGTGGGAAACAGAGATATTACAGAAAGGAGGAGATAGGAATCCCATTGGGCAATGAATGGAGAAACACCCCACCCAACTGACTGTCGACCCATCACATTCACGTTTTCATGCTGTGTCACGCGGTTGCTAAGATAATCGTCACGCAATCCCTTCTCAAAGTCAGGGTATAATGCCACGTTCACGTGCTAGTTGGAACTAGGAAACTGACATTTTCAACTTGCTAACTGGTTTTAGTCTAGAAACCTGCCTATTTTTCTGGAAAGTACGTAATTTCACAATTCCAATGCTTTACGATATTACACAGAACAAGTTCATTATCTCACATCTTGGAAAAGATTTGCAATGTTGTAGTTCTTGTTCATGAAATTCATGATAATGTTCGGTTTTTGAGCTAGCGCCCAATTGATTCCCAATTAGTCCTTGAAGGAAGCTCTCCTTGTCCCAGAATCGCCAAAATTCACTGTGCAGCCCATTGACGACACAAGGGCAACGTACAACAATGGGCATTAATACGATTCTAATAGAGTTTCCCATCTCCTCAAAAGTATCTCTGTGGGAAGGAAAAGTACTTTGCTCTCGCTCTGGGCAGAGACGAACTGCAAGTTGAATTCTGTGAGATAGACTCCTAAATTGATAGTGCAGATTGTTTAGCTGATTTTACAGCTAGCTAGCTGTTGATATTGACTTTGGTATTATTGTGTGTTAAATGCCATGAGCCAGACACACTTCATATGCAATGTAGACTAATAATTGTCACTTTTTTGCTATGTAAAAATTCTAATAAAAGTCATCAAGAGTTGTCTCTTTGTTAATTGTCCTGCCGTAGCCTATAATATGTGTCTCCACACACTTATGCTATTGATGGATTCAATGCTGTTTTCATTGATCTCAGTTTGTCAGTGTCAAAGTAGCCTGTCATTTCAATAATTTGTGCGGTATTAAAAAATTATTCTGCCAAAGTCTCCAGTCATGTAAAATGATATAGAATTGCATGAAATGTGTTTATAAAAGTCCACATTTTTCCCAGACCCTAGGCTATTAAAATGTTGCCCATGTGTACAACTTCTGTAACTGCCTCTACTCTACTGCTCTATGCCACTACGCAAATGCGATGATATGCATGCAATGCTTTATTATAAAGGTTTTTGTTTTTTATGATGCGTTCCGGTACCTCGGAGCTACCCAGGTCACACCCCCTCTTGTGATCACTTTTTGTTCCGGCACCTCCCGATTTACAAATTAAGTACTGAGCTAGTATTGACATTATAATTCAATCAAAATTGATTACTTTCCATGAAACAGTTGCCTGTGTTAGCTGCCGAGTTAGTGCAGTGTCCTTAGCTAGCTAGATAGCTAGCTACACTACATGACCAGAAGTATTTGGACACCTGCTCGTCGAACATCTCTTTCCAAAATCATGGCCATTAATATGGATTTTGTCCCCCCTTTATTGCTATAGCAGCCTCCACTCTTCTGCGAAGGCTTTCCACTAAATGTTGTAACATTGCTGCGGGGACTTGCTTCCATTCAGCCTCAAGAGCATTAGTGAGGTCGGGTACTGATGTTGGGCGATTAGGCCTGGCTCGCAGTCAGTGTTCCAATTCATCCCAAAGGTGTTCGATGGGGTTGAGGTCAGGGCTCTGTGCAGGCCAGTCAAGTTCTTCCACACCGATCTCGACAAACCATTTCTGTATGGACCTCGCTTTGTGCACGGGGGCATTGTCATGCTGAAACAGGAAAGGGCCTTCCCCAAACTGTTGCCACAAAGATGGAAGCACAGAATCGTGTAGAATGTCATTGTATGCTGTAGCGCTAAGATTTCTCTTCACTGGAACTAAGGGGCCTAGCCCGAACCATGAAAAATAACCCCAGACCATTATTCCTCCTCCACCAAACTTTACAGTTGGAACTATGCATTCAGCAGGTAGCGTTCTCCTGGCATCCGCCAAACCCAGATTCGTCCATCGGACTGCCAGATGGTAAAGCGTGATGAATCACTCCAGAGAACGCTTTCCACTGCTCCAGAGTATAATGGCGGAGAGCTTTAGACCACTCAAGCCAACACTTGGCATTGCGCACGGTGATCTTAGGCTTGTGAGTGGCTGCTCGGCCATGGAGCTTGTGTGGCCTACCACTTCGCGGCTGAGCCGTTGTTGCTCCTAGACGTTTCCACTTCACAATAACAGCCCTTACAGTTGACCAGGGCAGCTCTAACAGGGCCGAAATTATTTTTTTATTTGGGGGTAGATCAGCTTAATATTTCAGATAGATTGTAACTTCCATTAATGTAATTGTCTGCATCACTTCCAATCCCCCATGTTATGTATATATATATATATGTATATATATATATATATATATATATATATATATATATATATATATACACATATACATACACATACACATACACATACACATACACATACACATACACATACACATACATATACACATACATATACACATACATAAATATATATATACATATATATATACACATATACACACATACACAGACACATACATACACACATACATACATACATACATACAACAACTGACTTGTTGGAAAGGTGGCATACTATGACGGTGCCACATTGAAAGTCACTGAACTCTTCAGTAAGGCCATTCTACTGCCAATGTTTGTCTATGGAGATTGCATGGCGGTGTGATCGATTTTATACACATGTCATCAATGGGTGTGGCTGAAATAGCAGAATCTACTAATTTGAAGGTGTGTCCACATACTTTTGTATATATTGTGTATATTGGGCTAGCTAGCGAATATGCTGACATTAGCTAGCTAGCTAAACATTTGGCTATGGGCTGGCACTGGCAGTATGGGATTATGGAGAGTGAATTACATTGTTTTTTCATCATCTTGCTAGGTAGTTATCTAGCTGTGGCCATCTGGCTAGTATCAACAAGGGCTTTCTACAAAATAGCAACATTAGCGCAGCTAGAGCTAGCTAGCTAACATTGGAATCTATATATACCATAAACTGAGCAACACACATGCCAAACAACGCTAGGCCTATTGCCACATTCTGGTTTGAAGTGTTTTAACAAGGCTGGCGGACGACTTCAAGGTCTTTGCTGTGTAAACATAAAAGAGATTTGTCATCAGGCAAACGTTTGACAATTCTACCAGTGTGCCTGAGCTTTTATGTTCTAGATAGCACCTTTTTTTCAAAGAGCTCTACCAAAGTAAAAATCTAGTGCAGTGACTAACCCAACAGCTAAGGTCCCGAAGTGGGGCGGGCCCCCAGCCAAAACTCACTTATGGCCCCGAAAAGTCTAAGGCCTGTGAACAATAGATACATTAAACCTTCAGTTTCAGACAAAATAAAATAATGTGAGAATGAAGAACATGAATCTGAAATCTTTGAAAAGTTGAGTCGATGACTATCAACCTTCCTTGTTTTCCTTGTGTTCAAAATATTCACGAAAACATAATACTGTAATAGAAGTGCAATTGCATTTCTCTGAGTCGGTATTCATGTCATAAGAAGGAATTCCCCTCAACCACGCCCACAAATTGGGGAAAACAAACATTGACCCCCCATTGTAAAATAGCCAACTTCTTCATAGATTTTTTGTTATACAGAAATAACAAATAATTACGAAAGTGTGCTGTGTTGTTCAATATAGTGTCCATGTAACCAGGTCAAAAATCCCGACCTACGGTTCGCAATGCTCCCATGTAGGGAAATAGAGCCTGCGAGAAGAGCCCTGTTGCTTCAGGCTATTCGTGTGGAAGAGTGGGAAATTGTGGAGACCCGGTGTCCAAGTAGGCTACACGTAGCTATGTGTGTGGAAAAAATTTAATCACAGATAAGACATTTAACTCGTTTGGTATAGTCAGTTTGTAACTCCACTCACTATTTGTTGTTTCATAGTCCGTTTGTTTGTGTTGTTGGTCTTGGCTAGCTTAATGTTCTGGGCTCGGTTTCCCAAAAGCATCTTAAGGCTAAATTCATCGTTAGATGGGCATAATTAAATATCCAAGCTGTTTACAAAAACCCTCGTTATTAACGCTGCACTTGAAATCACTCGTAATCTAGAACAGCTAAATGCATATTTGGATGCTTTCTTGCCCACTTAATACACAGAAGATCTCTGCTAAACATAGACTCACATGGTTGATTAGTCTATCTGTGACGTCACTAGTTTAGTCATTTAGCAGACGCTCTTATCCAGAGCGACTTACAGTTAGTGCATACATTATTTTTTCATACCCCCCCGTGGGAATCAAACCCACAACCCTGGCGTTGCAAACGCCATGCTCCACCAACTGAGCTACCCTGGGCCAATTGTGCACCGCCCCATGAGTCTCCCGGTCACGGCCAGCTACCACAGAGCCTGGATTCAAACCAGGATCTCTAGTGGCACAGCTAGCACTGTGATGCAGTGCCTTAGACCACAGTGCCACTCAGCAGAGTCATTAGTTGCATGAAGTCATTAACCACACCTATTTCTACAATTTATCTTCTTAAAACGTTATTTAAAACTTTACCCTAACCTTAACCCTAATCTTAACCACACTACTAACCTTATGCATAATCCTAACCTAAAATTTTGAATTTGTGGCTGTGCTATCTAGTGGAAACCCTGTGACCACCATTAACTTCAGAACAAAGTTGACTACAAATAAGAAAGTGACAATGTCTTTGCAATTGATTCAAACAAGCTACGTATAAAAATGCTTCAAATGAAAACCGAGATGACTGCATTGACTTCTATTTTGCTACCTGTAGGTTACTGTCTGTAATTTGTCTCAATATATTTCATGATGTATAGTTTAACATGTTTGCAATGATGTGCCAAATCGGTGACTTACTGCATGTTTATTGGGTAAGCATTAGAATAAGATGCCTCAAAATTTGCAGCCGTAGGTATTAATATCTCTCTAGGAGCTGAACCGTCATCAGTATTGTGAAATAATTATAAAGTTAAGGAAAGATTTGAATGGAGAAAGCTGATCTGAGAGCAGCGCTCCTTTCTATTTGATCCTATCAGTTTTGACACATCTTCCAATGACACACTTAGCCACCATTCTCTCTGCGTGGTGTTCTGGGAAACGCATGTTCCATCATCAGCCGTTGTAGGAAAGATGAATTGTTAAAAAACTCGTAAGACTAAGTTCCATCGCTATCGGGAAACCGGGCCCTGGTTGGTAGCTAGCACTCACTCATGTGGCTAACGTTAGCGCCATCATGAAAAGGAGCATGAGTGAATTCCTACAATATTTCGTTTTTTCTAAGTAAGGCAATGTTGAAAAGTAATCTTTAGACAAATTGTACTTTTCTTAAATGGAGTTTTGCAATAGACTAAAACAAGCAGACAACAAAAGAACGGTGTTTGAAAAAGGTCAAGTTTTGTCTGTGAGCCAATAGGGTAACCATGGTAACCACAAATTATTTTCCTCACAGGCGGGTGGGGCTGCGACGTTCTATTTACTAACGACTGGGACTATAGACCAGTACAACAAGTAAACTATGAAAGGTGAATAGAAGGTCATTGTGCGATAATCCAAGTTTACTTTTTAAAGTACACTGAAACATTTGACTGATAGTGATCCATACAAGATATGACACAAACTAAATGTTGAGTTTTGCAGTACAAAATGTACAATACACAGCATGACAGGCAAGACAAATGAATGAAAATCAGACTATTTTCAGTCTTTGCCAACATGTTGCCTAGATAACGAATATGCACTCACTAAAGGAGTGGCCACAAGTCTAATATAAAAAGCAGTGAGTGCAGTACTGTACACTTCCAACTGATCTTCCAACTGAATACATGATGAGTATGATGACCATTGTATCTTTTCTCTCCGCAGCTCTGCTGTTGCTGGTTCCTGGGATCCTGACTGAAAGTAATGTAGAATATATTTACTTACTTTACCTCTTTATAATGTTATCTTTAAAACCTATACAGGATAGTTTACAATTTAAATTACAATTTTATTACAGAGGCTTATGGACCAAACCTCATCGAGTTGACAATAGTCAACAGCCTCTCCAATGCACCCAATGAGACCTACAGTGCTGACATGGTGTTCAGAGGGATCCTACTCGGTGCCATGAAGAGACTGCAGGAGACCAATTCAGACTTCAAGTCAGTAGACATTTCGATTCCATTGTCTGATTGATTTCTAGAATAGCTCATATATGCAATACAGATTATACAGTTTGAGAAATAGTTTTCTATGCCAATTTACAGACAATGTTTTTTAGTTCAAGGTGTAATTTATTGCATGGCATGGAGTGGTACAGCACTTTCCTGTTTTCAATGTAATGGTGGTATTCTTGCTGTTTCAGTTAATAAGGGGTATTATAATTGGCAGGTGGTGTGTCAAAGATTTTATCTTATGTCAGTAGTCAGTGAGCATTGTTCTTTCAGGTTCACCTACACAGAGGACCCAAACTATGGTCCTTTCCTGGAGAGTGTGAATGGTGTAGCTGGGGTCAATGCTGAGCACACTTACTGGGAGCTCCTTGTTCAGACTGGGGAGAATGGACCCGTGATCAGACCTGATGTGGGTGAGTAATGATTTAGAATATCTCTCTCTCTCTCTCTGCAAAGCTACAGAATTAAGCAGAAAAGCAAGTGTTGTTTTGTGTTGTTTTGTCACATGAATTGTGCACATACTATAAACACAAAATGACCTATGTGGACGTTGCTTTCACAGGTATTGGCTGTTACATCCCAGAACCAAATGACCGCATCATCCTGAAATTTACAAAATGGTGAACATTCAGAAGCGCCTGACTGATACTGTTGCATGATTTGAAAAAGTGCTGTTGTGCAATTTATTACATGGAAAAAGGGAAGGAATTCAGTCATTTGGAATGTCCAATGTTAAGACCTTGTTTAGAATTTAAATAAAAAGATTTTCACCCTGACATGATACTGTTGTTGATTTAAAAGAACATTTAGAACAAAATTCCTCAGGCTATATCAGAACAACTGTAAAATAACATTCTGTTTGTAATTACTGAGTAAAATGTTAGTAAAGTACATGTAGCTATGGAGTACAACTTGTGCCGGGAAATAAAATTACTACAACAGTTGTATCATAATACCTGTACACGTATACCTGTACACACACACACAAAATAATTTCAGAAATGACCTTATACCACATATATACTGTATATATTTCTCTATACACTGAATCTTTATACATATATACAGTACCAGTCAAAAGTTTGGACACACCTACTCATTCAAGGGTTTTTCTTTATTTTTACATTGTAGAATAATAGTGAAGACATCAAAACTATGAAATTACACATATGGATTCACGTAGTAACCAAAAAAGTGTTAAACAAATCAAAATGTATTATATATTTGAGATTCTTCAAATAGCCACCCTTTGCCTTGATGACAGCGTTGCACACTCTTGGCATTCTCTCAACCAACATCACCCTGAATGCTTTTCCAACAGTCTTGAAGGAGTACCCATATATGCTGAGCAATTGTTGGCTGCTTTTCCTTCACCCTGCTGTCCGACTCATCCCAAACCATCTCAATTGGGTTGAGGTCGGGGGAATTGTGGAGGCCAGGCCCTTACACAGCCTGGAGGTGTGTTGGGTCATTGTCCAGTTAAAACAAATGATAGTCCCACTAAGCCCAAACCAGATGGGATGGCGTATCACTGCAGAATGCTGTGGTAGCCATGGTGGTTAAGTGTGCCCTGAATTCTAAATAAATCACAGACAGTGTCACCAGCAAAGCAACCCCACACCATAACACCTCCTCCTCCATGCTTTACGGTGGGAACTACACATGCGTAGATAATCAATTCACCCACACGCGTCTCACAAAGACACGGCGGTTTGAACCAAAGATCTCAAATTTGGACTCCAGACCAAAGGACAAATTTCCACCGGTCTAATGTCCATTGCTCGTGTTTCTTGGCCCAAGCAGTTCTCTTCTTCTTATTGGTGTCCTTTGGTAATGTTGTTTTTTTGCAGCAGTTCGACCATGAAGGCCTGATTCACACAGTCCCCTCTGAACAGTTGATGTTGAGATGTGTACAGTGAGGGAAAAAAGTATTTGATCCCCTGCTGATTTTGTACGTTTGCCCACTGACAAAGAAATGATCAGTCTATAATTTTAATGGTAGGTTTATTTGAACAGTGACAGACAGAATAACAACAACAAAATCCAGAAAAACGCATGTCAAATATGTTATACATTGATTTGCATTTTAATGAGGGAAATAAGTATTTGACCCCCTCTCAATCAGAAAGATTTCTGGCTCCCAGGTGTCTTTTATACAGGTAACGAGCTGAGATTAGGAGCACACTCTTAAAGGGAGTGCTCCTAATCTCAGCTTGTTACCTGTATAAAAGACACCTGTCCACAGAAGCAATCAATCTATCAGATTCCAAACTCTCTACCATGGCCAAGACCAAAGGACTCTCCAAGGATGTCAGCGACAAGATTGTAGACCGACACAAGGCTGGAATGGGCTACAAGACCATCGCCAAGCAGCTTGGTGAAAAGGTGACAACAGTTGGTGCGATTATTCGCAAATGGAAGATACACAAAAGAACTGTCAATCTCCCTCGGCCTGGAGTTGCAATGATCATGAGAACGGTGAGGAATCATCAGCCCAGAACTACACGGGAGGATCTTGTCAATGATCTCAAGGCAGCTGGGACCATAGTCAACAAGAAAACAATTGATAACACACTACACCGTGAAGGACTGAAATCCTGCAGCAACCGCAAGGTCCCCCTGCTCAAGAAAGCACATATACATGCCCGTTTGAAGTTTGCCAATGAACATCTGAATGATTCAGAGGAGAACTGGGTGAAAGTGTTGTGGTCAGATGAGACCAAAATGGAGCTCTTTGGCATCAACTCAACTCGCCGTGTTTGGAGGAGGAGGAATGCTGCCTATGACCCCAAGAACACCATCCCCACCGTCAAACATGGAGGTGGAAACATTATGCTTTGGGGGTGTTTTTCTGCTAAGGGGACAGGACAACTTCACCGCATCAAAGGGACGATGGACGGGGCCATGTACCGTCAAATCTTGGGTGAGAACCTCCTTCCCTCAACCAGGGCATTTGATAAATTTGTTTGTGGATGGGTATTCCAGCCTGACAAGACCCAAAACACACAGCCAAGGAACAAAGGAGTGGTTCAAGAGAAGCCCATTAATGTCCTGGATTGGCCTAGCCAGACCTTAGACTCCGACCTAACTCTGAGTGCCAGTGGTCAAGCCTTGCATGCAACTGGCCACTAGAGATCTGGTTCGAATCCAGTCTGTGCACGAGGGAGACTGGGCGGGCACAGTAAGGTAGGGGGGCAATCGGCAGGTGTAGCCAGAGTGGCGTTTGCACGCCGGGTTGGGGTTGTTTCCACGGGGGGCCAGATAAATTTTTTTTTGTATCACTAACTGTAATCGCCTGGATAAGAGCGTCTGTAAGACGTGTTATCCATTCAAACTGTGGAGGAAGATATGCACAGAGGAAGTGGGACAAAATCCCTCCTGAGATGTTGTGAAACTGGTGGCCAACTACAGAACGTCTGACCTCTGTGATGGCCAACAATGGTTTGCCACCAATTCATGTTTTGCAGGAGGGGTCAAATTCTTTTTTTCCCTCACTGTATGTTACTTAAACTCTGTGAAGCATTTATTTGGGCTGCAATTTCTGAGGCTGGTAATGATTTAGAAAATTGTCTTTGTCCTCGAACACAAAGTACTTTCAGAGTTTTTGTAGAATTAAGATGTAAAATGTAAAAATAACAAAGCCATTTCCTGGCTCCGTTCTGACCCCCTAATTGATTCCCAAACCTATCAATCGATACTTAAACATGACTTAAACATGGCAGGTCCATAATCAATTTCTCAAACATATACAGTTCCAACACATAGCAGGCAGTTCTCAAGTCCATTTCCTGGCTCTGTTCCAAGCCTCTTTCTTCTCTACCACTCAGTCCCAACGCCCATCATGCTGTAATTAACCATGTTTAACTTATAGTCTGAACTATGTTTAACCCCTGGCTCCGTTCCAGGAATATGCCTAAGGAGGGAGGCAAAGGGCAACAGTCTGGTTTCAGTCACTGATAAGGTAGGACAGCCGTGGATTAGGGTGGAGCGAGGAATTCGACCCGAAGTCAGGTCAGATGAAGAGAGAAGAAACAGTCCTATTTCACACACATATACTTCTACACCCACAAAGGTCCTAGCATCAGGCAGGGCCATGACTACACCAGTGAGAGGAACCAATTAAGTTCCTCTCTGGGTCTTCCATTCCTGTGGCGGTCCTCATGAGAGCCAGTTTCATCATAGCGTTTGATGGTTTTTGCGACTGCACTTCAAGAAACTCTCAAAGTTCTTGAAATGTTCCGTATTGACTGACCTTCATGTCTTAAAGTAATGATGGACTGTCGTTTCTCTTTGCTTATTTGAGCTGTTCTTGCCATAATATGGACTTGGTATTTTACCAAATAAGGCTATCTTCTGTACACCCCCCCTACCTTGTCACAACACAACTGATTGGCTCAAACGCATTAAGAAGGAAATAAATTCCACAAATTAATTTTTAACAAGGCACACCTGTTAATTGAAATGCATTCCAGGTGACTACCTCATGAAGCTGGTTGAGAGAATGCCAAGAGTGTGCAAAGCTGTCATCAACGCAAAGGGTGGCTCCTTTGAAGAATCTCAAATATAAAATAAATGTTCATTTGTTTAACACTTTCTTGGTTACTACATGATTCCATATTTGTTATTTCATAGTTTTGATGTCTTCACTATTATTCTACAATGTAAAACATTTGAAAAATAAAGAAAAACCCTTGCATGAGTAGGTGTGTCCAAACCTTTGACTGGTAGTTTATATAAGGTATAAGGTTAGTATGGTATTTCGTTAGTTATGTTCCAACATTCCCTCCATCTTGTGCCAACATCAGTTCTTTTTAAGTCTTGGTTCCAATAGTTAATCTTTTTTTCTAAAAGGTTGTCAGGTGGATAGGCTCACTGCAAGGTTTCGTATATCTTACCTATCGTATGAATATCCTTTTCTGACTCAAATAGGATTCCCTCAATATTGCTCTAATGGCCAAAAGATTCCAAATCCAAATGTTGTGATTTCAAACTTTTAAGTTGCATTTATTTTAAAATATCTACATTGGTCAGTCCAAAATTGCTTTTTAATTCTGTCATGGATATAAATGTATTTCCTACTACCAAGTCATTTATGGTTTCTATGCCTTTGGTTTTTAATGTGGACCAATTTATCGGTGCATTCTGAAAGGCTATCCAAGGATTGTTCCATAGGGTTGTGTTTTTTGGGAGTGATATTGGTTGTTGTAGAATACGTTTAATTTTCTTCCATATTGTTATAGTGTTCGTAACTATGAAGTTGTTAATGTTCTTAATTTTATTCTTTGAAAATAGACTTGTGAAAAGATTCTGGGGTTGAGCATGCGCCTCTTCAATAATTCATTACCCATTGTTCCTCTTTAGTGCATTTAACAATATGTCTCAAGTAAAAGTCTTGGGTGGCGAGTTGATACAATTCGAAGTCTGGGAGGTTAAAATCACCCTCAGACTTAGAGAGATGTAAAACTGACCTTTTTATTCTATGAGTTTTATTTGCCCATATAAAGTCTGTTATGGCCGAGTATACTTTTTAAAAGAATGTCTTCGGTGGGGTAATTGGTATTACCGAGAATAAATATAAAAACCTTGGGAGCCATTCTGAAGAGGCTTATTCTACCTGTAAGATGAATGGGAAGATTGTTCCATTTAAATAGATCTGCTTTCATATTGTTGAGTAATGGCATTATCTTTATCTTTATTATTTGTTTGTTGTCACTTATTAAGCATCCTAAGTATTTGATATTTTTTTGTGGTCCACTTAAAGGATTGTTGTAGATCATGAGTTATTCTTTTTCATGTTCCTATTGCCATTACTTCAGTTTTTCCAAGTACATTTTATATCCTGAGATTTTAGAGTTTTCAGAAAATATTTTTAGCAAGGGGGCATTGAGTTTTCAATCAGGTATATCAGGAGATCGAAAATAAGTTTAGTTTATATTTATGTTTATCTTATGTTTA